TGAAGGTTGAGATCAAGATTCTGCGATCCACTGAGGAATTTACATTCTTATCGGCCGTTCCGCGCTCGTGCCTCTAATGCTAGCCCCCCCCCCCCCAAACTCCGGTTCAAGTGGGGGAGGGGGAAGAGAGGGGGTGGTTCACAATTCACTGGTTCCCTTTGGCTCACAGTTTAAAATGAACAAAATTTTTAACAACAATATAACATGGTGGCTTACATACCTGCTGACTGTCCACTTCCTCAGAGCAACGAAGTGCAGGGCAGCCAAGCAGCCACAACACCAACAGAATGGACTGACCTACAACAGAGGTTAACAATCACTAAGAGAGCTATGATGAGCATTGGTCTTGGTATAGCAACCTATGACAAGTAATAATCTAACAGTTCTCTGTCTGTGCATTTAAACCTCACACATGATCTTTACGTTCATGCTGACTTCACGATGTAGGTAAAAGTAGTGTGATATTATTTGAATGTGAACATTGGTCTATCTCAAGGCAACAATACAAAACTAAAACTAGCATTGTTACAACTTCAACTAAATTTATTTTAAACATGATATGGAAAAAGTTCCAAAATAACATGAATCACTAAAAGATTAGTGATTACGGTCAGTAAATATAGTCTAATTGGTGTAGATAATTCTGCGTAGCAAATGGCAGCAGGGAGCTGATCAAGGTAGGGGCGAGCTATCAGAGACCGGTTGCCTTCCTTTCACACAAGAAAGTACACTCCATTTGCTTTTTGCGCAACAATCATCAAAAAACTTCGGTACTTTGTGCTGAACTTGCAGAGCCAGACGCAGTTCTTGATGGAGTTGAATATATCATGTGTATATAATTAGATATACAGTAAACTGAGCAACCGATAGCACTGCATAAGTTCTAGATAATATATATAGCTGTTGCCGTATCAAGGATAGTCCAGGCTTCAACTTTATCTGTAGCTCCAGGTGCAATGGAAAAATGGGCCACTTTTCCTCGCTGTGAGCTTGGCTTGCTCCACGAGCTCAGCAATCAAACCAACGCAGCAAAACACTTTACCTACCTCTCAAAAAAGCAGAACCAACCGACAGACGGGCAGTCGGTAGGACTGCACAGTGAGAACACTGTGGGCTCACTCCTGGGAGAATGCCCTAACCTTCAAAAGCCGACGGTGCGATTTCCTGCAATGAGTCCAAGACACAAAATGACAACTCCCAAAGCCAAAACCACAAACTTTCAAGTTGCCCACAGGCCAAACACGACACTCTAGACACTGCAAACTAATCCAGCATAGACGTACTGACGGAAGGAGACCACAGTTGCCCCACGCGGTACAGCCAGTCAACAGTCAACTGTGCTCTTCGCTCGCTAGACGCACAATACCTACCAACAACAAAGACCGACGACCGACACGGAGCGGAGCAGGGAAGGGGGGGGGGGGAGCACTCTTCAGTTGAGACCCACCAGGACAACGCGCGCATCGCATGTGTGCGTGTGAATCGGCAGACGGCACCTTTCGGGGAAACCGGAAACAAATTGGCGACCCAAAATTAAACTCTGCGGACGAGACGCGAGGCCTGCTTGGGAGGACGGGCGGGGCGTGAGCGCTTCGTCGAATCTGCGTCAACAAGTTGCAAGCCTCATGTCGTTGCTCATTTCGCCGAGAGGGTTAGAGATGGAATGGGAAGAGTTGTGTGTGGTGGCGAGGGGACGGGGGAGGA